CCCCTCCCCCCCCCCCCCCCCCCCCAACCGCTGGCGCTCTGACCGTCGGTGGACCGTCCAAGGGGAGGCTCTTCCCCGAGGAGCTACAGCAGAGAAAAAAAGGGACGACGGGTGTGTGTGTGCAGCCAGAGCCGCGCAAAGAGCCCCGGGCCCGTCTCGCGCGCTCTCAGGCCGGGAAGCGGCTGCTGCTGACCGAGTGGCCCGCCCCGTCCAAAGCCCGCCCGCCTGGCCCTCGAGCGGGCTCTCTCCTCCCCGGGTCTTCATCCGACCCCCAGCCCGCGACCTCCGCCCTCGCAGTCAGGGAAGCCTCCGGAGCTGGTCCGCGCTCGGCGCGCTCCGGGACTGGGAAGGGCTGCGGAGAGGGAGAAAAGGTCCCCGGCGGCGGCGGCGGCAGCAGCCTCTCCCGCTCCTCCGTGTCCTACGGGTGGCTCCGGAACACTCGCCCGCTCTCCCCTTCCCCGCTGAGGGCGTGGGTCGCCCGCGGAAGTGGAGAACCCGACCCACTCGGGAGCTAGCCGCCCGGAACCACCACTCCGTCTTTCACGACAAGGACTCTCCCCACCACTTCAGGTTCCCGCCTGTTGCCGGCAGGGCTGTTGTGGGGGCCAAGGAGGGAGGCTGTGTGGGGCTCGCTGCTAAGCCGATGCGATTAGAACTGGGGGCTCAGGGTCACCGGCGGGGGGGGGAACCCCCCCCCCCCCCCCCCCAGCTCTCTAGTCGGACCGATGACTAGTCTGGCTGGAGCGCGGGACAGAAGCGGGGAGGGAGGAGGGCGCTGCTCTGCCTGAACGCCAAAGGAGGCGAGCGCCAGAAGGGTAATGAATGGCCAGACTTCAAAGCCCTTCGGGACCTGCGAAGATAACAGGAAAAATACGGCGGACACCGGCCGGCGAACAAAGGCTTGATTCTCGGGCCACCCTGGCTCGCGATCAAGCCGTTCTCAAGAAGAGGGGGAATCAAAAACACGGTGAGGGTGAAGGCGAATGAATCGATTCCTTCATCCATCACGGACTGGCCGTGTCCACAGCGGTTGGCGCGGCTGCTGCTGCCTCCGGAGCATTTGGTAGACGACCCAAGAGCATCTCTGGGTAGAGGCGATGTCTTGGCGTTTATTCAGCAAACATTGCCTCGTTCCCTTGTGACTTGTGGCCAGACTCACTGCCCTGAGCCACCTGTTTTGAACGAGCCTAGCTTGGTTCGTGGAACTCAGCTAACTGCTTTACATGCGTGGTTAGTTGGCTGGGGCGGGGGCTTTAAAATGAGAAGTGCTGGTGTTGGGTGATATATTGGAAAAAATTGTATTTAGCAGAGATAAGA